AAGAAGTATTCCAAACAAATAGAAGATGGAAACAAACAGGCATTGCAATACTAGACTCATAAAATAAAGGTAGAACCAAAACTAATGAGTAGCGATAAAGTAAGTCATTTTATTCTGTTCTGCACAATCCACCAAGAGGACATTACATTCTTAAATACCAAAGTCAAGTGCAACCAATTTCACAGAACAAATATTACTAGGCAGTATGCTACATATTAAACTCAATACAGGATGATTAAGTAACATCAGCACTCCACTTTCACTAACTGACAGACAATCCAGACAAGATTTAAAAAGAGAAACTTTATAATAGATGGCATCAGAAATTAAATGTACCTAATGAATACCTCTAGAATATTTTACCCAAACACTACAGAGTGTTTCTTCTAAGTAGTTCAAAGGAAATTTCTTTAAAATAGACTATATATTGGGACTCAAAATAACATTCAACAAATGGAGAAAAATTGCAGTAATTCTGGCACAATAGAATAAATCTTTAAGTCAACAGAAAAATAATCTTTAAAAAGGCACAAGCTCATGGAGATTAAACAATATGATATTGAAAGATTAACGAGTCATTAAAGAAATAAAGGCACAGAGAGACTCATCTGGATGAGATGGAAGATTTCTCCCTGCTAGTTAAGTTTCATACATCGAGAGGGAGACATGCAGGCTCCTGGGGGTGGGGGTGGGAAAGGCACAAGTATATGTAAACTTTTCAAACTAATTGTAAATTTTACTTACTACAGTACCTGTCTGCCAGTCAAAATGTATCTAATTATGCAAAAGATCCATGACTATTATGGTGTAACCAACTACTCTCTGACTGGAGTCCACTGGATGGACTCTGTTTTTGGTAATGCAAGTCCTAGTAAAAAATGAAAATTCCACACCTTGAGAATAATCTAGTGTTGCTTAGTTAAATAGACACAGTATCAAACTAAATTACCTCCTAACTATTTCTATTTATAGACATAGATTAACGTTCCTTTCAGTTTGAATCAGAGAAGCCTTTCTGTGGTGAAAGGCAGTGAGGGCAAAGTCACACATGACTGATCAAGAAGCTGAGAATGAGTGAAAGTTGAATGCTTAGCCATAAACAATACTTTATATCACCTTCTCTAAGGCTCAAGGAACATGAGCCTTTCCATGTATCTTCCTCAAAAGATACATGGAAAGAATGTAAGAGCTGGAAGACAGTTTTGAAGAAGGGCTAGAAAGCGCCACATTAGAGCCATTCTAATAATGAACTCAGTGTAACTGTTCTTGCTGGTATTGCATCTGCACAGAAGTGGACCTGTCAACAGTCAATCATGAACGAAGGAGGAGCATAGGGTCCTGTTTACTCTACTGAACTAGTTAGTGTTAATTGTTTGTGGGAGTAACTGCCATCAGTTGTATAACTACTATGAGCCAATCAGGCTCTAATATACATTTCCAAAAAGTCACGCAGATGACCCTGGTTATTAACACACCAGGTCTCAAAAGCAAACATAAACACAATATGGTAAAGGGATTGGTATTGGAAGGATGAGATTGATGGAGGAGGCAAATGTAAGCCTGGAGAGTAATCAACACATTGTACCAAAGAACAGAATGGTCAAAACACAAATTTAATAAATTTAAAAAAATGTAATAAGAAAGGATTCAAGGATTCAAAATCAAATGTTAGGGATTTAAGACAGTTCAGTTTTTACTGTGCAAGCATGAAGAGTTGAGTCCAGTTTCTATCATTTCACATAAAATTCTCTGCATAATGGAAGGCAATCATAATGCCATTGCTAAGGAAGTAAAGAGAGTTTGTGACCCAGGGCTCACTGAACAGCAAGCTTAGTCTAATTTTTGAGTTCCAGGCTAATGAGAGACCCTGTATCAAAAACCAAGGTGAACAGCTCCTGAGAAACATCGCAAGATTGTCCTTTAGCCTTCTATCTCCATACCAAACAACAACTACAAAAAAATCCCACAAAACAAAACAAAAAAGCAATCTACAGTTTCAATGAAATGCCCATCAAAATCCCAGCAAAATTTTCTTTGCAGACCTCGAAAGAACAATACTCAACTTCATATAGAAAAGCAAAAAACCCAGGATAGCCAAAACAATCCTGTACAGTAAAGGAACTTCTGAAAGTATCACAGTCCTTGACTTCAAACTCTTATTACAGATTTACAGTACTGAAAACAGCTGCAAGGGCCAATGGAATTGCATTGAAGACCTGAATATCAATCCACACACCTATGAACACCTGATTTTTGACAAAGAAGCAAAAATATAAAATGGAAAAAAGATAGTATATTCAACAAATGAAACTGACATAACTGGATATCAACATGTAGAAGAATTAAAATAGATCCATATCGATCACCGTGCACAAAATTCAAGTCCAAATGGATCAAAGACCTCAACATAAAGCCAACCACGCTGGACTTCATAGAAAAGAAAGTGAAAAGTATACTTGAACGCATTGGCTCAGGAGACCACTTCCTAAATATAACCCCAGAAGCACAGACACTGAAAGAAACAATTAATCAATGGAACATCCTAAAACTGAGAAACTTCAAAGGACACAATCAACAAGACAAAACAGCAGCCTACAGAATGGGAAAAGAGCTTCACCAACCCCACACCAGACGGAGTACTGATCTCCAAAATATACAAAGAACTCAAAAATTTAAATTTTTATAGAAAGGAAAAATATGTAACTTGAAAAGTTAAGTATTATAAACAATAGTTCCAGACACTCTAATTTTAACAGAGAAATAATGACATAGAATTACTGAAATAGAAATGTTTAAAAGCTGGAGCGATGTCTCAGAGGTTAAGAACACGGGTTGATCTTCCAGAGGACCTAAGTTCAGCTCCAGACAACCACACTGCATCTCCCAACAGTTTGTAATGTCAATTCCATGGAATCTGATGCTCTCTTCTGGCCTTCTTGGGCATCAAACACTGAAGTGGTGTATAGATATGCATATAGGAAAAAAACCAATGTACATAAAGTACATAAAGTAAGTAAAATTATAATTCTGTCAAGTTATGAAGGCATTAAAAGTTTGTTGTTTTGGTAGTAAAAATTACCAATATAGAAATCTATATGTATACTAACTGAGTTTCAAGTGAGTCAAAATTTCAGAGAGCTGTTGATATGTCACCTGGTTTTTCAGATTGTCTAGCGAATACCCTTCCTTCTTATTTTAGTTTTATTTTTCATCTTCCGTCCTTGTGATCAAACTCAGATATTTGCATATGCTGCGGGAGTTCTCCATCACTTCACTGGACCCCACCTTTAGCATCGTGTGATTGCATCTCCCTACCTATCATGATACTGCTTTGGTGATTGACTTGGCTCATCTTGAGTTTTCTGTGATACACTGGCCTCTGACTTCAGATTCTCTTGTTTTCCAAGGACGAAGACTATGGGTACCTGTTACTACACCAGTTCAAATTTCTCTTTCATAGAGAAGTACTGGTGGCTTACCGGAAGCTTTTAGCGTTTTGTTTCAAGGTTCTCTGGCTCACAAAGAACACTCTGTTAAAATCTATTGGCACTGGATTTCCTCTTGGTGATCCCACTCCAGTCAGTCTTCCTTTGCTTATCAAACTTGTCCAGCATGTTTGACTCAGAGACTTGGCACTTTCTTTTTCAACTGGCAAGAATTCTCTTTTCTAAATGCGCTTATCTCTCGCTGACTTCTTTTCCTCTGTGTTCAAATTAACAGCTCTACATATGTCTGTTTATTTATCCTGATTTACCTTTCTTCCTGGATCTGGAAAAAAAAAAACTCTTGCCCTTTTAGGAGAGAACTGACTAATACCTTATCATCCTAATGGATAACAATTAAAACTAGCAATAACTTATTTAGTCAAAGACTGGTTTTGGCAAATTTACGTACATCTGCAAGGCAATGTGAGCTGTCATTCATAAAATTACTAAACATCAGAACATCGGTTCAATTAAGATATTTCTTTTGTTTTTATTTTGGGGGGTATGAGGTTGAGATGGGGCATGATTTTGCAGCCAAGTATGGCCTTGGACTCAGGTGGTGGTTTGGATGAGAATGTCTCATAGACTCATGTATTTGAAGATTTGATTCCCAGTTGATGCCATGTTTTGGGATGTTCAGGAAGTGGAGCCTGGCTGAAGGGCTTTGGAAGCATATGGACAAGTAGGGTATAGGAATCAGAAGTGCTACTCAGCACCATGTACATCCTGAATCAGTGGCATTTACTATGCTTTCTCCCCTCTGCACTGCTGCATGGATCCAGGCCTGACTCTTTTGGTTTGGTTTGTTTGTTTTTAATTCCTGGACTGTCCATTCTTCATTTTGAAGTCTCTGATCTTGTAACTGGCAGAAACTTCATAGCAGTTAGCTATAATGCTGGTTGATAAGACTGCTTTTGCTAATTTAGGGTCTATCTGTATGACTATTTAAATCTCTGAAATGAGTCTGCTCAGTACTTTAGTTAATTGCCTTACAGAATATAATTGTGCCTCTGCAACTTCAAGAAATAGAAGCTATCTGTCTTCCTCCAAATCTTTACACATATCATTTACTTGATCTCCAACTTTTCCAATATAAATAAAATATTTTTACTGTAATAAGAAAATTAACCTAGTCTGAGATGCAAGAGATTCTCTCTCAAAAATGTGAAAAATGCATTATAAAATAATGATTATAATTTAACATGTTAAGACTACATGTAAAAATTTTAAAAAGAAATAAAATTAAGAAAGTCAAAAGGAACAACTTTTGAAGCGATATTTTAGAAATTCAAGCCCTTTGATTAGTAACCACCCTTAGTACCAGAGATACTTCAAAGCGTTTTCTAAACATTGAATTCCCATCAGTGATGCTGCAAGCCTTAGCTCTCATCTTTCATGCTTACCATTGCGGTAACTTCAAAAGGATAAAAAGAGAATGGAAATCTCTCAAAGTAACCTTGTACTTATGCTAGTAATTGCGTATTTAGCTATCATGCATTCACAACCAGGTAATTGTATCATTACACTGTGTTTTAATAAATATAATAATTAACATTTAGTTATAAAAACTAGAATATTCAAGCCATTCAGAAATTAAATTCAGAGCCCAAGGGATATCTAGAAGAAAATGAAAAAGAATTAGAGAGTGTCAAACCTAGACATCTTCAAAGGAAGGAGATCATTTAAACTTGCCCTTTACTTACTGAAATGCAGTCTGCATATTTTATTGTTTTCGTCATCATGCTTGCTATAATCCAGCAAGTGAGTGTTCAAAGAACATAAAATCCTGCAAACAAATAAAGTGAATATGAGTGAATTTATAAAAGAGACAACAATTAGGATCAAGAGCTTGACTTGCTAGTTTTGATTATGTGAGTCTGTGATGTTCCTAATGGTGTTTCAGCAATTCATGATTTATTGGAAGAAAAAATTATAATGTTTTAAGTTTCGTGATTCTCAAATGTTGAATTCTCATCATGTAAGGAACTTAAATCCTTATCTAAGTAATCCCGATACCACCAATCGAAATTTTGGGGGGTTATCAAGACCGTAAAATTCAGTTGTAAACACAATAAGGCAGAGGAAGAAATGATAACAGTCATCACCTTTGCAGTGTTTATGACCTATCTTGATGACACATTTAAGAAGCTGTCTCAGAATATACTAGGAAGATCACAAAGTTATCATGAGGTTCTGATTTAACAAGAAGTGGATGAAAGTTCTTTCTATTGTCAGTTAAGTATGTGTCTTTCTTAGTTGTTGGAGTATTACCCATTCAGACAACTGGGGAACTATCTAGATCAGTCTTCATTTGGGTTTATTGAGCACAGAGGACTCATTAGACATCATGTTCAAGAACTGGCCCTGGAGCACCTAGGTGAAATCTGAGATTCCACAATCTTTTATGCCACACAGAGAATGTATGATGTACTACATATTGATGGGATCTAAACAACCTGCCTATATCACATTAATCTCCCAAAGAATGTGAGTCAAGGATGAAAAACACACTTGTCAAAGCACAAATATTTAGAAGGGTTCAGAAAGTGAATAGAAAAAAAAATAAACAAGGGTTAAGATCCGGAAATCATCTATTATTTACCAGGATTATTTTGTCACCAGTCTGTGTGCCAAGTAGGTCAATAAAGAAGATTGCAGATATATACAGAAATAATGAGAACAACTTGATCATCAAGATCTAATGAACAAGAGAAAGGGTATGTGAATGTGTGCTTGTCTGAGAGTGTGTTTCTGTCTTGCTCTGTATGTGTATAAGTGTATGCTTCTGTGTGTAATTGTTTAGTGTGCATGCTTGTCGTGTGTGTGTGTTGAAAGGTTACTACTGAAATGTGGAATGACCAAAAATAGGAAGGGTAAACAGGAAGTGATGAAGTACTATGAATTAATATTTTGATGGCAGGAAAAATTAACTGGAATTACTTTGATTTGTAGATAAAGATAGGGACCAACTACTAATAGTAGGAAACAGTAAAGCCTACTTCTCAAAAGACTTTGAAGAAATAATTCTGATATATATTTCTTTTTATGTATATATATTATCTAGTTTATACTTAATTCTCTGTGTCCATTGAAGATATAACTATGGAATTACTTTTAGTTAATGATGTGTATAAGCATCTTTAGTGGAGACACAATAAATAGGTTGAGTTTATTCAACAGCATCATAAATTGATGTAATCATTAGGTTTGAGGGCTTAAATTCTGTGCAACAACAAAAGGAAGAGAGACGATGTTGGCTTATTTAAAAAAAAAAACCGCAGGTTTCTGTGAGTTCAAAATATTCATGATAGGGGGAGACCTGAGGCAGGGACTAGTCAAGCATTTTGGCAAAGATGTTATTTGACTCCTGTGTTATCAGTCTGAGCAAAATGTAATGCCCTAAATTCTGGATTCCAAAGGATGATGATGCTATCTTAAACTGCCTTCTGTGTGTAGAGCAAGTTCTGTGGGTCAAGATTGGGTTGAGGAGGATTAGCTCTATAGAGACTGGCACGTACGGACGAAATTCATCCACGCAGCTTAGACCAAACTTACAAAGAGGAAGCAAGCACCGATCATTGCTGCTTTGAGAGTCACATCGAGATCTGCAGGAACATGAATCCCAAAGTTGTCAGCGTTTGTGAACACGTCATTGACAAATCCTGACCAGTACTTGGAAATCTTCCCAATTGTAATCTTTTCGTCAACAGTTTTCACCTTTGAAAAGAAAAATAAGAGCGATGAGCTTTGCCGATAAAAAAGAGAATGGTTGCCATTTCTCAGTCTGTTTCCTTCACGGTGAATTTGAGCCGCTGTATTGTTCGCCACCCCAAAAAGTAGCTCTACGGTGGTTGTGCCTGTGTATCAGCACAGGTGTGAATCCTCACCTCCAGAGTGTTCGAGGATTTCAGATGCCACAGTTTGTGGACCATTCTAGTTTGCTTTCCTTTTCGTTTCTATGTAGATGGAGTCAATAATTAAGGCTACACAACCACAAGATGGCAGCAGGTACATCTCTTAGTGATGTAGCTAAGTATGAAGGTACCTGTGTTCAGATTTTAAACCTGAATTGGCCATCATAAAGTATGTATATGGACAATACATGTGTGTTTGTGTGTGTGTGTGTGTGTGTATGCATGTGCATACACACAGAGATATTAAAATTTTCTATTTGGATATATTCAATATTTTCTAGGTATAAGTTATAAATTTTAAAAATTTATTAATTCTGTAATTATTAAAGCTTTTAAACATAATGCATTGTCAAACTACACTTTTAAGTTACACTCCGACGTTTGTCAGCACATTCCCTTCTAACCAACTATAAGTATTAGAATCATTTTGAGCTAGTGTGTAAACAGGAGATTGGGGTAAGTCTGACATTGAAATCTATCACGCCCACTGAGTGAGGGATTCACATCTGATTCATCAAATATTTATTTCTTTATCCTGTTTATTGTGCTGATATATTTATTTAACATAGACCTTCCCTTTCTCTATGGTGATAGAAAATTGAAAATAGGAACGGTTTCTTAGGATGTAGCTGTAGCATGGAAACTAAACCCTGGTGTTTAAACTCACCTCAATCATATTATCAAGAAGTCAAGTAGCCAGGAGGTGGTGGCACATGCCTTTAATCCTAACACTTGGGAGGCTGAGGCATGTGAATCTCTATGAGTTCGAGGCTATCCTGGTCTGCAGAACTAGTTCTGGGACAGCCAGGGCTACATAGAGAAACCCTGTCTTTAAAAAACAACAAAACAAAACAACAAAAACCACATCACACCCTTTCACAATTCTAGATCTAAGACAAGTCACTTAACAAAGTCTGTTTTCTTGGTGTGTATAGGTTCCTCCAGACGTCTGGAAAACAGACCTACGTGAAATCCTTGCAAATAAAGAAAAGTAGATACTTTAAAACCTAATGGTTTTCTCACATATATGTATGAGTACAATAATCTATTAAGAGCATATGTAGTTGCAGGTTAAATTTCCAATGGCTCATTTTAGTATTCAGTTCCAGAAATCTGAGAGTGCATTATTACACAGTCTTACAAATATAGCTTTATATAGTGACACTCTAGGGCAGTACGCTTCTGAAATGAGACCTGAATGGGCGAAATTTCCATCAAGCAGGCCAACAGGAAAGGGCACAGGTAATTTTGATGATCAAAATGGACATATGCCCTCTGTCCCCCATGTGCTCTTAACTCCCTCAACCTCAACCTCAACCTCATCAAACACAGAGTTACCAAGACTTTTAACAGTCACAACATATTGGGTATCTAAAAATCACAATCTCTATGTATGTATGTATGTATGTATGTATGTATGTATATATATATATATGTATGATTCAGAGGTTGAAGTTAAAAATAACAAGACTTTTACTGTTTTAGGTAAGGAAGTACAATACATATCTAATGTATTTGGCAAATATGTCAAGAATTCTAATTTTATAATTCTCATTTTTATTTGTTAATATTTTTTGAATTACATGTGCAGTTATCTATGATAGATAAAATGGCCAATCAGTATATTGTCATAGCATTGTTTTTGCTAAAAACCCATGGACTTAGAATCTCTGTACTAATGTCTGTTAGTTATTTTTGACATGGAAACATGATTTATTAGAGTATTACACTAATATGCAATTCTTAAAATGTATTTAAGTGATACATTATGATTTGGAGTTTTTTTGTTTTTGTTTTTCAAGACAAGTCTTCTCTGGGAAACAGTCCTGGCTGTCCTGAAACTCACTCTGTTGACCAGGTTGGCCTCAAATAGAGATCCACCTGCTTCTGCCTCCTAAGTTCTAGGATTAAAGGCATTTGCCATGACTGCCTATCATGATTTGGAATTTTTTAACTAAATTTTTTTTAATGTACATTGGGTTTTGCTTGCATGTATGTCTGGGTGAGGATACCAGATCCCTTGGAACTAAAGTTACAGACAGTTGTTAGCTGCCATGTAGGTTCTGGTAAATGAACCCCAGTCCTTTGAAAGAATAGTTAGTGCTCTTAACCACTGAACCATCTCTCCAGCCCCATGATTTGGATGTTTTACAAATTAAATTATGGTGCAAGAAATCAGGACCTAAGCAAAACTTTGTCATTCATACCTCAAAGTCCACATCGCCAAAACAGCCACAGGTTGCACAAGGACCAACAATTTTCAAAATATCTTCCTTGTTTGCATTTTGGATTGTGAATGTGGGTTGAAAGGGGTCCCACTTTTGTGCAACATAACCAACTACAATACCCGGAGGGGCTTGAATTTCTAGCTGTAAGAGAAAATCATAACAAAATGACATTTTCCTAAGGTTGTTGTTCATCAATCACAGAAGAATGCCAACTTACATCTACATAGTATTTGTTATGAAATCACTGATGTATTATAAGAATCGTTATAAATATTTTTTAGAATGAATATTGGTGTTTTCTTTTGACATTTTGTATTGTGTCACGGGAATGATAAGAATTCATTACGCTGATGTGTGTCACACTCCCCTCTAAATGCCTTTGCGTCCTTGGCACAGCTGTCTTCCCACCTCATCTGTGACAGTGAGTGAATCATAACTCAAACTCAATTACTACTTCTCAGTTGTATCCATAGCACAGATACATTTTAACCTCTTTTTACCGGTTGTTGAGTGTTCACATTTTTTATTTCTGACATTATTTCAGCATTTGAGTGTAAGCCAAGTAGAATCCTTTTGTAAGATACTTTGAAATGGGGGCAATAGGAAATGTTTCTTTAGAAGAAAACAAGATATACATACATATATATTCATATATATGTGACACATGTATAGTCATATATGGCATATGTCATACATATGACATATATATAGTAAAAGCACACAAATTCACTCTTTCCCACAGTACTTTAACTCCCTATCAATCAACCTTGCCAAACATATGTAAATATATGCCATTTATGTATAAACATAAACATGTGCAATATATAGAACTATATATTATGTATTTAATGTCTTAGATCTCAAAACACACACACACATACACACATATAAATAATCTGCTGAACAGAGGATGAAGTAATATTCGAGTCCACAGAGACATCATATCAAATTGAGTAGTTTTCTACATCAATAAAAATTATTGTTACAGCTTTATTAACAACGACAATGACATTATATTCTAAAAGAAAACAATTAAATAACATCACTCTATTGCATACTGTTGGTTTATTGAATGTGCAAATGGTAAATGTTATTCTGAGGAGAATAACACCCAGGGAAGATGGCATCTTAGAAGAGGTTAAGTGTCATGGCACCCCCCTGGGCATTGCTACTCTTAGAGAAGATGACTGTATTTGTGTAGTGAAAACCTGTAGATATTGCAATTGCTTGCTTAATACACTAGTTCAGGAGGTCATGTCTCATTTTTACAGGAAGCATGAACTCCTGTTAGCATTTAATCTAATGCTAGCTATTGTAGTTTTAGGTTACAAATGGAAAAAGTACCTCACCAAATCTTCATGTTTTCCTTATCCCAAAAGGGAAGATATAAATTCAAACAACTCTTATGTTGACTGTCTTATAGCTCCAGATGAATGTCATTTAAAGGAATAATCTTAAAAAGGAAAGATTCTCAGAGGCAGTGACCAACCTCTTGTAGGTAGCAAGGACACCAGCAGCTGTTACACCTTAGGGGCCTGTTCACTGTAATCACCTCTCGACCCGAGTTGTCTGTGATCCTCAGGGTGCAGGCTCTCAGCGTAGAACATACATTACGATTAAAACAGATGCTTTCCTCCACTGCAAAGTAAATTCTTTGTCCCAAGCTGTTTTTGATCTCGTATTTGTTGGAAGTCTCAGTACCGAGTATCACTATCGGAAAACACATCATATGAAGGCATACTTTGATTGGCATCACCACTTGTCAAAATCCAGGAGTGTTAAGAGAATGTAGAGTTGCTGCAGAAATCCTGAACTGATAGTCTCATCTTCATACACATCTCTTCCCATGTTCAGATGTCAGAGCAAGAGCCAAGAACAAAACCAATAACTAATTTTTATTCTAGAACTATGAATAAACATGTTGTGACACCTTTCAACCAAATAACATTGTGTAGGGAAGAAATCATTGCTCAAATAATAACCCTATTGTTCTTCTGCAAGCTATTTGGACAATTTACTGTAGTACTTTTTTTTTATTGTATCTAAATTTTCTTTTAGCATCCACAATAGTTGTACTGGCCAACTTAGTCAATTTTGCCATATTTTGGAGTAATATAGAATCTTATAAACAGAAAACAATCAAGTAATTTGAAATTGTTAATCATCCTCACACACATCTATCTACTGATAAGCTGTGTGCCTATTTTATTGAGTTGATTGTGAAGGAATAAAATGATAGTATTTGTGTTGATTAAATTTTAATATGCTTTCAACTGTGATATCCCCTTCTCAGAATGTTAAGAAATTTCAATGGGATATTAATTACTGCTTGTCACTTTAATTTTATTAGAGTGTGGATGTCACTGTTATGAAGGACTTACTTTTATACTTTAGTTGTGCTTAAACTAATAACTTTAGTTTTGTTTAAAAAATAGGTAAAGCAATCATTCGATCTTTCTACCCATTGTTTATAAAATTTTCTTTTGAACAATAAAGCCTTTTCAGAAGTTTTAATAAATGAAAACTCTGATGTACTTACTCCCGAGAAGTTCCACTTGCTGATGGATGATTATCAGGTCCAGCTGCAAAGGATGACAGACAGGAAGTGAAACCATTCCACCACAGCCCATACTATGCAGTATGAAATCTGTCATTTTCATGAAAACATTTCAAACATTCACGATTTATAGGGCAAAGACTTAACCACAGGAATCAAAGCAAATTCTGAGAAGAAAATTATTTAACTTTTATTTTGGATCTATGAACAAACATATTTGTACTATATTTAATTAAAGAACAAATTTGATAAGGAAGAACTTGTTACTCAAATAATCATCCTATAATTCCTCTATGAGACTATGTTTCACACAGTATGCATGGCCTGTCTTCACCAAATGTTATTGTCCAACTAATAATTTATAGAACTCTGAAAATTCCATGTCAGATTTGCCAAGAACAAGAAAAATGACAGTGGTTATGCTAACTTTCTGAAAATGAGAAACAGTATTTTAAGGATGTTTTTAAAATAACCTCTGACTAGTAATATCGAAGACATTTTTAAAATGTCCCCAAATTTCTTGTGAGGAAATGAAGCCACAGGATGGGCATCCAGCTTCTTCCAGTGACTATTTATCCACTGACTCAGTTGGCACCATGCACCTCTCAAGGGGGAAATATCTGTTTAAGATGGAAGATGACATTTTATAAATAGCTCTGCTTCTTATTTTCCTTCAGGCTAGAGAAGACAGAAAACTTTCAGACACCAACAGAATGTCAACTGAAGCGGAATAAGTGTTCTGTTACCAAATACCCACCACAGCATTTGGGCTAGGTAATTAAAAAGAAATTAAGCAAAAAAAAATTTTGCAGTTTACAAATTTATTTGTTATCGTGTGTGTTTGTGTGCGTGATGTATGTTGTACATACCACAGCACCCATACAGTAGCGAGAGGATACCTTTTAGGGCTTGTTTCTCTTCTTCTACCTTGTGTGCACTCTGGGGATGCAGTCATGTTGCCAGGCTTGCAGTTGATGACCTTTACCCCCTGGCCATCTTGTCAGCCCATATACAAACTTTGCAAAGGAAATATGTAATATGTGATTGAGAAGAGCCTGGGGTTTTGTATTTTTAGTTGAATCAGCTCATAGACGTGCTAAAGCCAAATCTCAAGCCTTGGCTGTACTGCTGATCACCACATTTCTAATGCTTCATTTCTAATCCAACCAACATTATTGCCACAGTATGCTCTTTTCATGCATGTAAACTCTGCAGGATTCTTTAAGCCAAGGCATTTTTTCATCAACTTTGGTATTGATTGTAATTCTGCAACTCCAGAAAACTTGAAGCTGTACTCGCTCTTTCATTGTCCTTGTATATCCTGAGGTGAGGGAAACATTTCTTCTTGCCTTACTGATGACGAAAAATTACAATGTGACCTCTTTTTAAAAATGCAAATTTTTTTTACATATGTCATTTCATGACTTGAAGTTTTCTAAAATCATATTAACAATCATGGTAAAGCATTTTGACGTGGAGTGAGATTTTGAGTGGATCACATCACATTTGCTTTCCTGCAGAAAATGGAGGTTTCCTTTGTGGGGAAAAAAATAGGGAAATACCTTCAGAAAGTATGTGGCTATTAGCTCTGAGAGGAATCAAATTAGAACTGGAACACGAAGATTAGGGATAAGACATCTGAGTTTATCATCTTTGAATATTGGTGTCATGGATCCAATCAAGTCTTAAATTTTGAAGCTATAAATACTATAGAGATTATAGAGTCTTAAATTTTGAAGCTAGAGAATGAAAAGGAAAGCTATATCTCCAATTCTCAGATGTTAACTGAATGATGCACATGAAGTATTTGTTGAACTATAGATTTTCGTATATTGTCTTATTGGATCATCAAGAATAAATAAAAACGTCAATTGGATGGACATCCCAAGAAGTTAGGGACAGCGCTAGTAACACAGCATGTGGCCAGTCACCAGCCCTACTCCACTGTCATGGCTAACCTAACTTTAGGGACAAAGGAAGCAATTCTACAGTGACACCTTAACTTATAACACCTCTGCTCCCTGTTTTCCTTTCTCTCACCTTTGTCATCCTGTGTAATAAGAAGTGAACTAGTCTCTTTCTGTGGACAAGTATCCTTTCTTTGACAATGTTGATTTGGTTATTATACTTTCCTTTGAATAGTCCCGAGCCACTAATAAACTGTCCTAAATGGACCCTTTCCGTTGTCTCCTGCTGGCTGATGTACTAAAAATCAGTAGAAATTTTAAACAGATTAAAATATACTCCAGATACCAGGACAAATAAAGTGGTTTTAAAATACTGAGTCAATGAAAACATGACAGTTTTTAATATTATAGCTTAAAATTTAAAATTAAAGATTACAAGTATTGATTTCATTGAATGAATTTTAAGATGAATAGAATGTTTGTGTGTGATTTTACCCTTTTGTTGATAACTGAACATATGTTAATATTTATACTATGACACTAAAGGGGTAAATATTAGTTATTAGTGTCAATGTGTAGATCTATCTAGAAAGTATCTACTAGCTTCTCCTTAGATTTATCCTACTATATATACATATATTTATTTTCAAATTGTTTGACACAATGTTCTTGAGAGTTAGAAGGAAGACTATTCACAAATTATATAGTAAGAGTTTAAATAACCTTTTAGTTTTTAATGTAGAAATATTTTTCTTATATTTTTCTGGTTAATTTCTTGAACTATGCAGTATTTCCAAATATTCTTAGCTTTAACTAGTTTGTATGTCTTTCAGTTGAAAGTTATTACTTACAAAGTTGTATAACAGACATTCTCTTACAGACTTCTGTGAAATACATAGAGCCTTCACTTCTGTGTGATAGCATCTTAGATACAGACAGGCACTCTGTACTCTATCAAAGGAGATACATAAGCACCAATCCAACCACAAGCCCTTTGATCTACAAGGTTGTCCTGCCTTTAACATATGCTGGTGAAATGGTGGTACAAAGCCTGCGGAAATAACCAACCACTATCTGATTTGACTTAAGGCCTAGCCCATGAGCTGATTCATACAAGATACTGCCTAGGTAACCAACAACCTGAGACTACATACCCCAGGGATCTAAGGTAAAAACAAGTACTATTGTTCTTTTTTTAAATATAGCAATAAAGTGGTTTATAAAGACAATCATCTATACTCCTAGATCAGTTCTTTATTCAGTCATCATCAGAGAAGCTTCCTCCTGCAACAGATGGGAACAAATACAGAAAAGACTCACAGAGATTATGTAGAGTGAGAAATCTTGAAACACTCAACCCTGAATGATATCTCCATCAAACCCCTCTCCTTGGGGCTCAGGAAACCCTACTGAAGATGAGGTAGAAGGAGTTTAAGAGCAAGAGGGGATGGAAGACACCAAGAAACCAAGGCCCTCTAAATCAACATCCTCAAAACCATATGAACTCACAGAGACTGAGGCAGTACACACAGGGTCTGCATGGTTCTGCACCAGATGGTGCCCCAGACCTGAAAGGAGAACTATACACATGTCCCCTCCCTAATCCAGAAGCTATCTCCAACTGATAGTCACTTGCAAATGAAAATCGGGTTTCTCCAATGGAGTATCACTGGGGAAACAAGCTATTCTTAAGGGTAGGCTGCAGGCCCAGCAATAGATGGGCAGCAGAAAAAGAACTCAATGGCATCTTTGAAGGTCCCTTGACTCACATTGTGATGTCAGGACTTTCCCTTTTTAAAAAATTATATATATATATATATATGTATATATATATGTTTAGTTTTTATTATATATATGTGTGTGTGTGTGTATGTATGTGTGTGTGTGTTTTGTTTTCCTTCTCCCCTTTTAACACAACAAATCCTTTATATGCATATTATGGCTTATAGTTTAGTGTTTTTTTTTGGGATTCCCAAGGGTGTGAACGAATGGGTTTATGTTTCCTGTGCCTTCCCTAGAGCTCTTTCCCTTTTGTCTGTTTTGTCCAATTCCAATGTAGTAGTTTTTTTATCTCATTATGTATTATATCATATTATACTATAGTTATATTGTTATCCATTAGAAGCCTGTTTATTTTCTAATGAAAGACAGAAAAGGAGTGGATCTGGAAGAGAGGGAAAGTGGGTAAGACTTGGAGGAGAAAAGGATGGGACAATGTAATCAGGATGTATGGTGTGAAGAAAAAAAGCATATTTTCAATAAAAGGAAAAACAGCACACACAAAGTTATTTAACAGGCATTCTCCTACAGACTTACATGAAATACTTTTGAAATCCCCACATACCTTTTTATATGTGCAGAGTTTAAAGTAAACCCATATTCTTTTAGTACAAAATGGGTAAGTCATTTCCTTTAGGAAAAAATGTTAACAATTTATGGCACATTTTGTTTCCTCAAAAAATATTGGCAGAGGTATGTTTTTAGAAAATGCACTGCATTTGAAACTGAAGCTCCTGAGTTCTTCTGTCTATTTATTGAAGGTTAGAACGTGTATTCACGTCAAGCATCTGGCCACGGTATGTCATCTTTCATGGGTGGAAGAAGAATATGCGATGACCATATGTGATCATCAAACCTCAGCCCTCTGGCGCTGGTATATCACTTTTATATTTGGCAAAAACCTTGCCTGACAACACTCCCAAACAGCTTGCAGCAGTTAATCAACTCTAGCCAGCTCTTCCAGCTGATCCTTTCTGCAGATGGAAGATGGAAGATGGAAGATGGTAGGTTAGCTTTTCCAGCTCCTTTCCGTAGCTCCCTGAGCTCGCCAGTCTCTGTAGAACATTTGTCTGCCAGTGGGTTTCTGGGGAAGGCATCTGCAATTATCAACATTTTCCCAGGAACATATGCTGCATGCAGCTTAAACCCTATCAGGCATAGCAGAAATCTCTTGTTCCTTAAGGGAATTAACACAGAGATTTGATTTTGATAAAAGAGATAGACTTTATGTCTGAAGGAATGCCAAACAAGGGAGCGTGGTAGCAGATGTGCTGACATCTCAATATTAGTGGTAGAGTCTTTCTAGCCGTGTGTCGGGTTAGGTGTTAAAACAGCAACAATACATTCACATATGAACAACAATTTCTATTTATGTGCCGCATGACAAAGTTTTATAAGACTTGAAGTGCCCCAGCTCAGTCAGCAACAGTACCTAAGAGTGTGATCTAATCGTTCAAGCAGGATGCCCTGGAGACTCAGGAACATCAGAAGAGGGTAATGTGGCCTTGGTCAATTGTTTTCCCTTGGATTTTCACATTGCTTTTGGGAGCAGCTGAAAAGTGTCAACTCCTTGCTGAAGTCTCCACGACTGCCTTCTCCCTTAAAGACGGTGTGTTTTCCTGGCTTTCGTGCCTTGCTCTGTACTTTTTAATCAACTTTTTTTTTTTGTTTGATCATTAACTAACAAAATATTTGAGTGACAGGGCTAGGTTTTATGCTTCTTATGTGCCTTGAATATCCAAGTGCTCAATATATGTCTAATTCATAGCTGCAGGTGGCCTAGTCTAATAATTCCTTGAGAATGCCTGCACACCTTGAGCAATGAACAGGAAGTAGACAAACATGCTAAGTGGCAAAGTCAAAGCTATTTAGTCTCATCACTCTGTCAATTAAATAAGGATAGGCGGCAGTAGTGTCGAATAAAATTCCGTCTACATAGCAAATGTAAAGTCAGTACTTTATAACTGTATAATTTATAGTGCAGTCTGCACTCCATTAAATTATTGGTTGAAAAACAAGAAACCGACTTTGAATTGCTTTTAAAGAGAACACAAGAGTAGAAATGGAAAGGCATGCAAACCTGGCTTAAATATTCTAGACCAGGGGGGAGACTGACTGTTGGCAGGAAATGACTTGGCTGAGGGTCGTCAGGCCGCTGCCTTGCTTGTTTCCTGGGATGGGAAGAAGCTGCCCAACAGTGTGGATCTGGGTCTGTAGATCCTGGAAGAAAACCAGGCAGTCTTCCAGCCTTTTGATTCTGGGAATCTGCAAGAGATGAATATCTTTATGTGTGCTAAAATTTCCCTCCCTCTCTCCCTCCCTCCTCCCTCCCTCCTTCCCTTCCTCCCTTCCTCCCTCCCTCTTTCCCTTCCCTTTTCTCTTTTTGATTTAGATTGAAGTTGCTCCCTGTTTGATGCCTCTCTCATGTTAATGCAATTTCCTTTGTTTTCACTGCTCCATACTATCACCCCTTGACTTCTCAGCCAGAGAAAAAGAAAGAACATAGAAGAATGTTGGTAGTTGTGAGGATAAGTTGAATAACTTGACTTAAATAATTGGCCTGGAGATACATTGCTTGTATAAATATGTTTGTGTATAAGTACAAGGTAACACCTGTTCAAAAAGGTGAGGAATCATAGACCACACACACACACACACACACACACACACACACACACAAAATAAATGGTAATAGACCCTAGAAAGCCTGTACTCATAAAATGATAGCCTAGACTTGAATTTTTCCTTGATATTTTCATTACTTTTTTATTATTTATTTATTTATTTATTTATTGACAGGGTTTCTCTGTAGCTTTGGAGGCTATTCTGGAACTTGCTCTATAGACCAGGTTGGCTGTGAACTCAAAGAGATGCATCTGTTTCTGCCTCCCAAGTGCTGGTTAAAGCCACAATTTCCTTTCTTTGAATATTATGGGGCTGTCTTGTACTTTATGAAGTTACTCTGCCCACTTTAATAGTCATAATATTGTAGCCCGGTTTAGTTGAATGACTCTCATATTTCAGCCTTCATCAGAACCACCTGAAGTGGGGACCTATCAAAATAGGTGTTGGACCGCTCTCCAGCTATTGATTCAGAGATTGGGGTGGAAGGTTTGCAAAGTTACATTTTGATAAGATCTTAGGTGAAGCTAATAGTCCTAATAGTATGAGGATATCCTCTGAAAATCCACTGTTAAACTGAGTAAGCTTAAAGAAGCTCATAATTTATCAGTGAGTGTCTTAGTATACTTATATAAAGTTCACTTTGTTAGTTCACTGGTATCAATATACTGCTGAGTAAATTTGCTTCTATTTCAGTCATCTCACGTTGGACTCTGTGAGTTTCTTATTTACTGTGTATTAGTCTATGTGATGTTATGCATCAGCCCTAGGCAGGAGAATCTTTATTTAAAATTCTAAACGTTAGCTTTCTACTAGTTCCCCTATTTCATTCTCATAAATATCATTGTGTTATTTCCCTCATTAGATGCTCAGTTTTTTCCCATAGACTACTGGTATTCGTGATTCTCATCCTCATAGAGTGTCAAGGCTTTTTTTTTTTTTTAGAAAAGTTTGTGAATAAATTTGAGTTGTTTCTCAAAGTTGTGTTGCATTATCTTATCTGTTGATTTACAAGGAAGTGAATGGTCAAGTTTTCTTTTTAAAGCTATAGTAGGGTTTATCATGAAAGCAAGCACAGTTAAGCATCACATTGTTTAACAACATTAACGCTTTCTGAGAATATATCAATCATTAGGTAATTTCATTGATGTGCAAAGGTCATGGAGTATGTTTAAAAGTTAAAAGTTTCTAACATTATTGGGTAGAAATGTTTTATGTACCATGATCTTTGTGGTCCATCATGGACAGACTGACATTTTGTTAAGGAACATGCACATGAATGAGACGAAGGAATTGGTTCTGGACTGATACAGAGAATAAATTTATAGCAATTGCATAAAATTTGAGTGATTGCTGTCATTGAGCATATAGTAAAACTTGAGTGCCATATAAATGCTTAATAGAAATTATAATGGTCCTATTTCTACAAGGATACCTAGTTTTATAAAAAATTTCTTGTTGTTTGAGGTATTTTTTGGTATCTTGTAATCACACAGTTTAAAAATGCACTAGGAGTCTTTCTAAGACAATAAGCTTATTTTATCATTAAGAAAACCCAAGCATAGTCTGAGCAGGGATGCAGGAACACAGACAAAGGGCCCTTTGGACAGAGGAATAAATTGATTCTAGTAATGACAAGCTTGCTAAGCTTGTGCATACAGGAAGTGTTAATGAGGGGCAATTGCCAGATGACTCATTTATTTATTTACCCCTAAGGTTGTTGGAACTGGCTGGGTTTATATTAATATTGATATCGGCTGCTTAGTTTGCATTTGTCTGTGGCGTTTGACATCCGTACAGGACTTGCTTGAGAATTAAACAAATGAAGAAACTTGTCCTTTGGTCCCTCTGTAAAAGAACTTGTAGGTGATGAGGCTGCAGTTGGTTTCCCTCCAAGGATCCCTCCAGAACTGTTTTGACCTAAGGAACAGACACAAAGGAAGGGGGTGGCTGTTCTTATTCTTAGGAAAAGACCCTGCAAGGGAACTCCAGGGGGCACACCAAAACCAGGAAGACTATGTAAAACTGTCTTAAAATCAAAGCGGAGCTACTGAAGACAAGAGCAAGGGCCGGAAACTGAATGCAACAAACACTTATCCAACATTAGTGCCAATATCAACTGTCATCTTCGCTTTGCAGAAAACAAAACGGACAGCAAACTAGTGACAAAATAATGCTCTAGAAAACACTAGTTCACAAACAAAATGCATGTTAGTAGCTCATGTGGGCATGGAGATGTGTGGTTATTGAACAGAAAGCGAACACTGTCAGCTGCTGGAAGTATTCCATCTCTTACTCTTGGTGATGGTTGCATGAGTTTCTCTTTGTTAAAACGACAACAACAACAACAACAACAAAACCCCCTTTTTTGGTGCTTTATTGCGAACATGCGAAATTCCACAATAAAAGCGTGGTTAATTAACAACAAAAGTTACTAGAATGTTGTATTATCTCTTACTGTCATTTTCTTTTTTTAAAAGATTGGTAAGTTACTTCAAGTTTATATTGTAAACTTTGCTGCTGCAACACACTACAGTAGGTTATTAAATGTCTGGAAAGCGGCTGCACGTCCCTGGCCTGGGGTATCAGGTTTCTGACGCTACAGCAGGTTCAGAGGATGCCTTTCCTTGTATTTGTTTTTACCACGTGAAGAGTTCCAGATAATACACATTTCTTTGGATCTATGGCATCACACTCAGGCTTCCTTGGACTTGTCTATGAACTGCCCCGTTAACCCTGAGTCTCTCAGAAGATGCTACCAGACAATACAGTTTCATAGGCCAAAGACCACGATGGAGTTATGGTCATATCTTTAAACATTTTGGAAAAACATGCCCTCAAACATTTTTTGAGTAAAAATTAGATAAGTCTATTGCTCAAACAAGATTTTCTATTTAAATGGTATCTTCCTGTCTCTTTGATTTTATAATAAATGTTCTATCCACACCGTGGGCTAAATGTTTTCAATTGGCCAGAGGGATGTTTGTTTTTGTCTTAAACTTTTTCTCTAGGTTTAGTGCAGCTTTAATTCACAAACACGGTCTTTTTCATTACTGAACATCACGTCTTTTTGGCAGATTAATCATAATCTTGCTTTCCGGTCACATTTTCTTCAAAGACCCGGACTACCAGATGAATAGAAATCTCCTTTGAATTGGTATCGGGCTTTGAATTTCTATCTACTCTTTTAAAAATGTATAACTAAGCCATAAATAATTTACACACTCTGGAACTCTTTCCTTCCAGGCCGCTCTGTCGCTGCTCTTAATCTATAAAATGAGAAGTGTTTGGCCTGTGATAGTTTCAGTCTTCAAGAAATGTTTGTCATGGTTTGCATTTACTTGCTGTGAGCATAGAGACAGTTCTGCACACATGCGGTAAAAGTCACTATTTCTCTCTTTCTGATGTAGTTTCTCGTCTGTTTACAAGCTTCCCCAGGGATTCCCAGACTCACATTAAATAAGAAAGAAAAATATAAAGACTACTTAATATGTTTAATAGATGTCAGCGATGTGTTCATGAAGCAAGCAAGAATGAACCCACATTATTTGGATTGAGTCATCTATTTAAATAATTTAGGGGAGGTTACACTTGTGACTAATTTTAAACACGTCCCTAAGTTTCACAAATCACACTTACTCATTCTGAAACTTTTCCTTATAGAGCTTAATAGTGCTTTGTCTTGATAATTGAATACAAATGGATTATAATTTTATTTTTAGAAATATCTTACTGTGATTGTATGTTATTAGCCCTGATAAAACCTCATCTCTCATCCTTTGAAATCTGTCTCAATTAAAACACATATTTGAATAGTTTTAGGGTACTGAGTGAAATTGCACCCTTTTCTCCTAATGTCCCTAATAGATCTTCTTGCTTAAATTGGATATTTTGATGATTTTGATTTTTTTATGCTGAATTTACTACCAAAATATTTTAAAAATATTTTAAGTTTATAATGCACAAATGTTTAGTTCTACTACATCAAGTTGAGGCTTCACTCATGTTCTGTTCTTCACTGGGCCGAGGGCCTCGTGGTTTTGAACAACAAATGAGCAATTATGAATGTTTGGACAACATTTTTAGATGTCTATGTAAAATCCTTCCTTCTGATTCAGTTAGACTTGGAATTTCATCCCATTCCCTGTGTTTAAATTAAACATCCTTACTTTCAATGTTGCTTTACAGCTTTTCTTATTAAATTGCTAGGTTTGCGTTTACAGCAACAAAAACAGATTTTACAGCCGGACTTTTTACATTCTTTTGGCTGAAAGTGTGGGGTGTGTGCTTTCAGTTAGGACAAAGTAAAACAATTCAAATTCCAGTGTTCCAGAGCAACAAATAACAACTTTTAAAAGTACCAACTAGACCAGTTATAATGCTCCAATATCCATGCACTTGCTGTTATAACATATACGAGGCCAAATTTAGACG